ATGACAATGGTGCTAGTAGAGGTAACTGACATGGGTTCTAGTGGTGGGAATGGTGTTGTTACAAATGCTTATGGAAAATTCCAGTTGGTTTTTCACAATTATTATGGCCAAGCTACTTCCATTCAAGTAGAATTCTTAGCCCTCTATGATGGTTTGAAATATATGCTGTTTAGACCATGGCATTTTAAACTTGTAAGTTGAAAATGATAATAAGCTTCTCGTTGAAATAATGAAGGGCAACACCGATTGTCTATGGACTATTCTAGAAGGAGTAAGCTCCTCCTCTCTTCTCTCTTCCATGCACATTTTGCCTAAAATGATCGTTTTTTGTATGTCTGTTCTCTATGTTTTAAACATTTTTATTGTAATGATGGGTTGGGGGGGTTAAAAAAACAATTTGTTATTGTTATTATAGAAGCCAAAACTTTGGGGTTATTTTCATCTTTTGAAACAAGTACTTGCTGTCTCATTATTAGAGGCATGCATCTTTAATTTTTGAGTCTTGGGTGCAGTAGACAAGCTGTTCCTCCATTCCTTTGACATGTTTTTCACCTACCTCCTAATGTTTATATGGCTGGTATCACGGAATTGGATGCATATATCAGAAGAAGATTGAAAAGGAAAGATAAATGAACCCTTCACATTATGAATCTTCCAGAACTTGGTCTTCTAAGATTAAAAACATAAGTTACGAGTTATGAGATTAACAGAAGAACGGTGTAGGAAGAATTCTGAGATTCTGAAATTCAGAAAGTTACCATGTTGATCTTGTGAAGTGAGGATCACTCATTAGGAATTAGAAATTTAGAATCTATATTTCATTTACCAGCTCATTTTGTCTCTTTTCATTCAGTACTGATCAAGATTTTCTCAAGCTGATCTACATGGAGGAATTCGTAATAGTTTACTCTCTGATCAGAATTCATGCCGGAACGTCAAAGAGCTTTCTTCATGAACATGGCCCCTACGGACTTTCTTTAATGTCTTGTCCATGTGGACCCTTTTAGCTTTACTAAGTGACAGATGCCTTAGTTTGCTAATCAATCAACCAACCTTGCCAGACATGGCTTACCCAATGATTTTTCTTTTTTTTGAGTGAGTTAGACGTGACGAGTACTTTTTACATATGCATATTTTATTTATCGCATTTATAGCTCATCTACCTTCACTTTAAGTGTCACCTCTTGACCCCATTGTGCACATGGCTAGCTCCATCTCTGCTTTCCTTGTTTCTTCCATTATCCTGTGGGTTCCTTTCCGAGGAAATACTTTTGATGAACAACTTCGCTACAGAGAAATGATTTATAGTTGTATTTGGTGTTGCAGTTCGGCAATCACAAATACAATAATGGTAGGAAGTAGGAACATGGGAGGAGTTAAAATTTTTCATTATTTTTTGTAGGGAAAGGATGCTCTATAATTAAAGCTTGTTCATTCAATCATCTTTCCAATTTTTAGCAATGTTGCGGATGATGTGGGCCCAATCCAACTGGATTGGTCATGTGACCAAGTGCCAAATTCTTGCATCTCTGCATTCTATTGTGCATTAGGGTTTTTTTTTTTTTTCTTTCCTTTTCAATGAATGTTCGATTTTTAATGTCCAAATATGCCATATGGTGAGGGAGTTTAATTCAAGAACCCGGATCTCTTGAAACATTGAGAGCCTGTTTGGACAGAGGTCTTCTGTGTTGAGTGAGCCTTATCAGAGAAGCTACCTGAGATTGCTTCACCGAAATGTTGATTTTATGGTTCATCTAGGCCTACTTTCGGCTTTCTGGATTTTTATCAAATATGACTCCATGGGGTTCCAGCCTTCCAGGTTTCTCAGCTCATGTAGTACCATAAATCATTGCGTGAAAATCCTCCCAAAGAAAAGCATGTCATCCAGCCATACATTGAAAATACATTCCATGCTTGTAAATTAAATTCATTGAGAGATGTTTTCAATGTTCACCCGAATGTCGTGCTCTCAGGGTGTTGACATGCTTTTTTGCTTTTTAGGAAATCCTGTCTCCAATTTCAAACATCCTTTTACAAGTGGAGTTTCCTGTTGCTGTATGTACCACTGTTTCCCCATATCATTCAATAAGGTGATCACATATCAAAAGGTTGGTCTGTTTCAGATTAAAAAAGTATACTTAACCATGAACAACAAACAGAGTTCCAGTCAAAGTTGGAGACTTTGAGTGCAATCTAAGTGATGTGGGATCGTCTCATTGATCAATGTATGACTGAAGTAACATCTTCATACATACATACGAGATGGGCTTCAGTCAGTACAAGACCTGTTTTATTTCATGGGGAGATATTCCCAATACAAGGATATAAAGGCTGTTTGAATGGACCCTGCACTGATTGATTCCGGTTTCCATACAAAGAGCAAAAGGGAGTTCTTAGAAGTGATATAATTAAATTGATAAGCATAGGCCCCGTTTGTTTTTTGGCAAGTTATTTACCCGGGTAAATGCAGTTATCTGGGTAAATTTTTCCTGGGAAACGCTTATTTGGGTAAGTGCATTTACCCATGTTCTTTCATTTCTCATGTAAATAAGGCAATGCCCATTTTAGCCGTAAAAACCCATTACTAAAAAGGGCATTTTTGTCCCATTCAAGTGTTGGTAACTTCCCCCCTAGGTGGGAAAGTTATTTATCCACCTAGGAGATGGGTCACTTATCCGGATAAATGGATAATTGGTACCCAGGAAAATAAACTTTCCCGGTTCCCTACATAAATCTAAAAAAAAATATGGGATTCTCGATCAAAGGAAACCAAAATTCCATTAAACAACTTTTTCCTCTCTCAAAATCCGAAAACAGAATGCCCCCATAATATAATATAACACAGCTGGTGAAAACTTATGCCTAATGGAACACACAAATGTTCATGTTTAATTAGAATATCAAAATCACATTGAATGGTCCCATTTGGGAGATCAATTGGGCTGAAAGATTCGGTTCAAATATATCGTAACCGTTAGTTTTATTATATACATTTAGATGGTAGAAACACTCTATTAATTTAAACATCATGTCATAAGTATGCGAAAATGGTGAGTTGGGGGACCAGTCATAACTAAACTTCTAGTCCAATGTCTATACATTCATACTGTAACATACATATATACATGCCTGCATGTATGTATGCATACATAGTTACATATAGAGATAAGAATTATTTTATATTTATTATTTAGGTGAATTAAAAAGAAAATTTTAATTAATTGAAGGGCCGGCTACAATTAATTCTACCTCCCTTTTCTTTTAATTAGGACTACAGGGAACCACCCTCCCCACCCTCCTTGCTCCCCTTGGTTCCGTCATTGTCTCTGAAAGCTTCTTGGCTGTTGGATGGGGGAGTAGTTGGAGTTTAGTCATTTCATACACTTCACACATCTCTTACTCATTGTACCACTACTATAAATTCAGTGCTGAAGGTAGAGTTATAGAGTGAGAAGGACTATTCAACCTCTTGACTTGGATCAGAAATCACGGAACAAAGTAAAAGAAAACAGAGGAGGCAATGACGAGAACAGGGTGAATTTAAGGAACACTTCGAATACTTCACTATGGCCTTACTGTATAATTTTAGCCTTGCATGACATGAGTTCGTTTTCACCCTTTACTTCTGATATCAGATGGGTTTAATGAATTTCCTGCCTACATTATCATTACGGCATTAAAGGGAGAGCAACCTCGGGATCCACCACCTTACCAATATACATAAATGGTTGTTACAGAATTGAATGGAACTAACATTGCACCTGCAAGTGTGATCATTATGAACTGAGCGAGCGTGTCCTTCCAAATGACACTAACTCCTGCAGCTAGCTGCTTCAACACTTGTCATCCTCCCAAAGACTGAAAACTCCATTCTCACTCCTGAGACCCCTTTTACTCTAGTGGTGCGTTTTGTGTCATAATTCAACTATGTGTTTGAGATTCATGCAATTGGGTAAGAATTTCTTCTTTATCAAAGCTTCGTTTGACCTGTTGGTGGATATAATATATAGATAGATATAACGTAATCTGGAACTGCTCTCAGTTTGTCCTTTATAGTTTGGCTTAAAAGAAACTTTTTAACTTATCTGGATTATAACCTTCTCCATGAAACAGAGAACAACAAGCTGCATATCTAGACAATGCCGACAAGGCCACGAGGACAGACCTGGTCTGGTCCGTCTGGAGATAATTTTGAGCTGTTTAACTACGCTTCTAACACAAACACTGGTAGTAGGGGCCTCAGCGCCGAAGATTCCAAAACAGACATACCGGACAAAGTATGCATTTCTAGTATTTCACCAAATCAGCAGCTCCTTCATTCAAGGACGGAAGGATCATGGATCACGGGCAGATGGAAGAGAAAAGACCACCACGCAGGCAGCGCTAAGCTAACTTTATTAAATCCTGTTGTCACGTGAGTTCAAGACTGTTCTCAACCTGGGACTGGGAGTCTTGGCTTTGTCATCCACCGTTGAGCATTGAAGCAAATTAAGGTTAATAAGGGTCGGTCCCAACTCCCAAGGAGTTTTCTCTGGGCAACGACGACACACAGGGAATAAATTAAGCTTTCTACATTCAGTTTTGGGATAACATACCAAATAAATAATCCAAAACACACAAGCTTCTCAGATGTAAATCCATACTACAGGCTACAGCAGGAAGTATCAAATCTGGATGTGCTGAATAAGGGATGGAGGATGGAGATGGATGGGGCAAGGATGGCCATGAATTTGCACTCTGCTGCTCACCACAAATGAGACCAGTTAATTGGGTTTTATTTAATTTAGACGCTTTTCTTAGTTTTTAGCTGTTTAATTTCTTTACGGATTACATGCTACATGCTAGACAGCAGGACAGGAACCTAGAGAGTAGAGAACATGAACGCATATTAAACTGCTCAAGAGTCAAGACTTATGGGTCGTCTCGTCTCAGACCACTCTCAGCCCCAGCCTAGCTTATATTGTGAACGCATAAACTACTGATCAAGATTCAAGAGAGCATGATGGAAAAATAATTTCATTGCAAAACATAAAATGGGTAGAACTATTTTGCCCCTTTTTCACGATGAAAACTTTTGTTTTCCTTGCCATTTACATGAAAACAAATTAAAAGGCAGTGGAAAACAAAGTTTTCTCTGTAAAAGGGGCATCAGTTGAGAAAATTTTATGTCCATTTTACAGAGAAAAAAAAAAGAAAAAAACACAACCTGAAGCTGAACTGAAAATATAAGTTCTTAATTATTATCTTTTGTGGAGATGCTAAGGTATAGGATCAGGATCACCAGCTATATTTACCATAATTCCCCTGCATTATTCAAATGTGATTATTAACCATTAATAAGACGAACCATGAACACTCTACTGCACAGGCTTGAACAACTGATGCCTTAGGCCCTTAGCTCACGTCCGAAGAATCTGAAGCACGTGCAGAGAGAGAGCGGGTGAGCGTGCCAAAAGCTCGTTGCGCATGGGCAGACTCAAGATCCATCACCTTGGCGGCCTCGGCCTGAAACCTGGAAATTGATGTGAAGGACTCAGACCTGTGGCGCCTTCTTGTCTCAAAGCTTGCCCTCTCAGACATTCTGAGCGCATCGCCTGCAACATCCACTGCTTTTTGACTCCTGCATCCGAACAGCATGCCATGCCCATGACCCCCCCGTCTTTGCTCCTCTTTGGCCATCAAGGTCTTGGGCTTTGTTGACGTAGGAATCATCCCGTCGGGGTTCGTAAGAGTTGGTGGTGCTGGCACCAACGCCACCGAGAAATTGGCAGCACCGGCGGTGGCGGTGACAACGCCCCGGTCAACGCTTGCTTCGCTTGGCTCGTAACATGTTGTGGGTGTAACACAGCTTGACATGGTATCTGACGCCTGCCGTATGAGGTATGGGTTGGCATTGCTCGAAAGGTTCTCGATCTCAAACAAGTCCGAACTCGCATCACTCTCCATATCGTCGTACAGTCCACGGCTGCCGGAATTTGCAGTGGTCTCCTGGGCTCTGGGAATGGCATCCCAAGTTAACATGGGTAACCTTCTCCCCAGGTTCAAATTTACATCCCCTCCTTTTTCCATGATAGGGGACCCGAACACCTCCAGAGATTTTCTGGGCTTCTCTTTCTTCTCCTTCTCTTCTTCAAACTGCCTTTTTACGGTCAGGTTTCCCACCCCGGGATTAAAAACTGGGAACGAGAAACACTGTTCCCCCGTTAACCCACTACCCACCTTATCACAGGCCATATCCTCTTTGAACCGTGTTTGCTTAATTCCAACCAAATCGAATGGATCACGATCGATTTTGATGGGTTGTTTTGTGAGGATCCCTCTGCTATGAAGCCCTTCAAAATGAGGATGGTTCTTGGAATTCCTTGAGTTATTCTTGTTCCCCCCGAGGTCTTCATCAATTTCCACCGACTTCTTATCAGAGCACGCGCAATTACAACCGAGGCCCACGAAAAATCTTTTACCAGGTATCTTGTTTGTTCTGCTTGGAGATAGGTCTCTCAAACGACTTGGCAGTAATGCGCTACGGCTGTTCCAACTTGCTTCCGAGCATGAACTCGGAGTTCCCAGTTTAAGCTTGGATCTCATGGCGCTTACATCAACTGGGTTGTGCCGCTCGTCTTTCCTAGGTAGGTGCTCCCTGGGACTTCTGTCGACAATTCTCGGCTTCTCCTCGTCCATTCCACCGTTGAAGTATTTTTCTGCGCTGAAGACACCAATTTCACTATCTTCTGTCTTTTTTCTTCCGAAAGCTACCTGGTGGAGAGGTTCTTGGGAGTCGGTGAAGGCCGCAGCTGGGTTCCGGGCTGATTCAGTCAGTTCTTGTATGAAGGTCTGTTTGGCACTTCTGAGGTAAGAAGAGAACGAAGCATCGCGGGGATTGGTATTGTTATCTTCGTTGGATAGGGTTCTGGGGAGGGTGGTATTGCAAGTTGATGTTAATGCAACTGTAGCCATGGCGTTTTTAGCAAAACCTTTTCTGATTTATAAACAAAGAAAAAAAAGAGAGAAAAGGATTTCGGAGAAAAAGCTTACTTTGCGAGATGCTTCGCTTGAAGGGCTCCGTAAATACCACATATATCATAAGAAGCCTAAGACGGTGATAGGCTCTGGTACGATCAGTAGGTGGCTTCAGTTCAATGGAGAGAGAACAGAAAAAAAGAGAAGAGATACCCAAGAAAGGCGCAACTTTGAATCTGGAGCTGTTATGGTGGCAATGGTACATAAAGGCCGAAGCTTGAAATCGGAGAGGTCTTATTTCCATTTGGGGAGGATCAGGAGAGGATGGAGTGGGTAGAAAAGCAAATTTTCGAGTAAAACATGGGCCCATCATGCTGGTGATTCGTTTGACTCTTACCTTTACAAAATGCACGTAACTTCTCAGCTTCTCTAACTTTCACTGTTATTTGACCAGAAGAATTTCCTTTCCTTGCCAATCTATGTGAGGAGCAGATCCCAATTCAATGGGCATCTGACGTGGGGATATCAGCCCTCCCCCCCCCCAATATTACTAGGGATTGGGATTTCATGCTTGGAGCATCCTCTACCAGGAAAATCTGGTCGACAAAATCGGGTTTTACAGAAGTCCCCGATCGTAGCCCCTTATATTACTGCATTTACATTTATATTGAATTTGGAGAAAAGCTATTTTTGTTCAGTAAATACCCAAGTCAGATTGCTAGAAGCGAGCTAATTAAACGTACGTACTTAGTACATAATTACATTACTTTAGAAGATGGGGGCCATTAAATGGTCATTCCTGTTCCTGAATCCTGAGTGAGGTTGCAGCCTGCCAGGGGCTCTAGCTAGAGCCTAGAGGCCTCCGCCCGACTCATATAGATCCATTGTGTGTCAGACCCAAGAATCGGGATATGCTCCTTATACATTGCAATCTCACACCGATCTCACAGGCGCATCTCCGATGAATAATAACACATAGGGAAAGAGCAGATTGGGTCTCCCTTATGTGAGCCTTGTAGTCCTATTGGGCCATAAACCACCAGCAAAATGTTCCCCCCCCCTTCCAAGTTAAGGTTTAAAATCTGGTCCTAAGCTTAACGGTTGTCTCTAATGGATTAGCAATTCAACCATATGATAAAAAAAAAAAAAAAACGAAGAAGAACTTGGTGATGATGAGTCAATGATTCAATTGTCAGATTGATTAGATCAGTATTCGAGCCAATAGTTTTTTTGGGAAAATTTTCAATTAGTACCCTGTACTTTGAGCCTAGTGCCATTTTGGTCCCCGAACTTTAAAATGCGATAATTTAGTATTCATACTTTTAAAACGTGATAATCCAGCAGTACCTATCATTTTTCATTCAAAAAAGTTGGGGTCACATTTGAGTGGCCATTCTGGTGACCCTAACTTTCTTGAATAGAAAAGGCAAGGATTTGAGATTGTTAATTTTTTGTCAATGTTTGGATGGATGGTTAAAGAAAATTAGATGACACTCAAAGGACATTTATGTCTTTTTCAAATATTACTTCATGGCTGATTAACAGCTAGTTAACAGCAGGTACTATATTATCATGTTTTAAAAGTTCAGGGACCAAAGTGGCACTAGGCCCGGAAATTTTTTTTTTCTTTCTAATTGTAAAATGGCAAATTAGAAATTGACCCAAACCACAAGCTGGTATTGTGGCCAGATCACCAACCGACTGGATTGAAAAAGAACCGAAAACACTGGTTTTGTAGACCTCAATTGTGGCTGATTGAACAACGCATTTAGATTTAGGCTCCTTTATTGCGGCATGGTTTCTCTTCATATATATGCATGGAGAACTGGATAAGGAGATTTTGCTCCTCCTTATAGATGAAATTGTATTGGATGGATAAATACTAACTACGGGTTACTTACAGAAATCCTTTAAAAAAAGCAAGGGATATTCAAACATTTACTACACATGTTTTAAAATAGGAAGTTAGGAGTGAGTTAAATGATGGATCATAAAAAAGTTGCTTTATATTGTGGGGCAATTTACATTTCTAAGTCATTAAAGTTTGAGATAGTTGCACATGCACTTTAAAGTCCTCATGGATACTTACGACTTACCTGCTGAAAACAACTTTTACCTACTTATTATGTACACATTAAAACGTTAGTAGGTGTTTGACAACATGGTTTATTTTGTTTTTAGAAAATCAAAATGGCTTTTAGTTTACTAAATCGCAATAATAGCTTTTTAATTTCCACTTCTGCTCGAAAAGGGAAACAATGTCTTATTTTCTGAAGAACCAAATAAGTACAGCCTAAAAGATCTTACAGTGGACAATTAACGTGATTCACGGCCTTCCATGTATTGTTATGGCCCCATCCAGATGTCATTTTGTCTAATTCCAGGTGTGGCTACAGAAAATATACATCAAAGGCCGTTAGCTAAAACCACGTCGTAGCAAAAGTAGATTTATAAATGTTGCAGGTGAACCAATTGGCTATACAGCAAATACCGGTGCATAGCTTAGCTAGTTAAACAAGCGCCTACTTGGTCAAAAAGGAAAGCCACTCAAATAGAATAGGGTGGCTCAAATAAGTTAGAAATTTGTTGTTGATTTCCTTTAGAAGATGGTTAAATTTACAGGCCAACTTACTTGTGTACAGTTCATATGGTTGAGCTTGAGTATCGCTTTCCAGATGCTGTAGACTGTAGTGGAATTAATCCAGTAACAGTTTCCATTTTGTTTTCCATAGAGTGAGGCGGATTGCCAATTGGGTCTGGGCAGAGTTGGGTTTGATGAGAAAACGAAAGGGGATTAATGGGGATAAAGGGCGGTACAGCTGTTGTAGATTCGAAATCAAAAGTTTTAGAAGGATATCGCTTTTGTGATTGATTAGCAATAAAAGAAGGATTAGGTCGTAGTGAGGGCAGCTTCTTCCCTTTATGCATTGATCAACACAGCCCAGCAAACTGAAGCAGTTGCAAGTAATGTCGAATCTTTAATGGATAGTGTGCGATAAACAACTGGAGATAGCTGCAGTGAGATGATAAGACTGTGGGATGATATGTCACAGTGGTTCATGCACGGTCACTACAGGTACCGGAGGATTTAAGCTTAATGTTGAGGCCAGATATGTGGGTTGGATGATTTGAGCATGAGAACATCACAAGGTAGGTCTCATAAATGAGACTATTAGAGTATTTAGGCACTTTGATTTTACTTACAATAAGTACTTTTTATAAGTAGTTAAAAAAAGTGTTTGGAATCACACATTACGTGATAATTAAATACTTATTCATGTTTGGTTAAAAAAATCAGGAATAAGTGCTTTTTTTTTTTAAAGAATCACCTAAGAGTTGTTGTTTTTTTTCAAAGAACTTCTTAGAGAAGTGTTTATTCGACTATTATAGGCCGATTCAGTCCTTAAATGTTTTGCTAATTCCCATTATACCCCCACGGGGAGACAACCCTTCTTCCATTCGAATAGAAGAAGACAGAGGAGCGGGGCGGCACACCGTTCTCCTTGGTGACCAGCAACCACCGACAGGGTGAAGAAAACGGCGGGCGATGAAGTCGGTTTGATATTTTTCACCATTTTATCCCTTTTAATGTTGATTTGAATTTTTTTTTTTTTTTTTTGTTCCTACATTTGTTTTGAGAGGTGTTTAACGGCAAAAAACCACTATGCAGACGTCAACGATCGAAGGTTAGATCGCCCAAACGAACACCTTCCATGGTTGTTGTTATGTTTTCGTCTCTTTGGATGAGTATTTGGCCGAAATCAATATTTATGAGCATTTTTTGTGCATTGCTTGTGTGACGATTCCTATGGATAAGTAGGATTTTGTTGGGCATTTTTTTTGTTGAAGATCATGCTAAAAAATGCCGAAATATGTGGTTACAGAATTTTTGTCATGATTTTTAATATAAATAATTGGTTAAATGTTAGCATTTTTTCTTTATTTGTGATTGCATTTTCATATAATCCGAATTGAGGAATACTTGTGATGTTTTTTTTTTATTTTTTTTGTGATCAATCCGAATTTTCATATTTTTTATGATTAGTATGAAAATAAATTATAATCTTACATTTTCTTTTAATTTCTCAGTGCATATTTGTGATGTTTTTATATTTTGTTGTGATTAATAAATGTTATCCTATTTTATTTTTTACATTCTCATTGCATATTGGCGATGTTTTTATATCTTTTTGAATAACCCAAAATTTAAAAAATTGTTATATTATTAATATGAATAATAAATGTTATATATATATATTTGAATAATCTGAATTTTCATTAATTGTTTTGTTATTAATATGTATTATTACTTTATCCTATTTTATTTTTTTTAAATTCTCATTGCACATTTGTGATATTTTTTTTATCTTTTTGAATAATAAAAAATTTCAGTAATTGTTTTATTATTAATATGAATAATAAATGTTATCCTATTTTATTTTCAAATTCTCATTGCTATTTTATTATTATTGTTATAATTATAATTATATAATTACTATTACATTAATAATTATAACTTGTAGCTTATTATTATTATTATTATTATTATTATTATTATTATTATTATTATTATTATTATTTCTTTTTGGGTCCATTTGTTACTCAACAGGTGGGCCCACGTGGGTTCTCTTATGTCACGATTAGACCTGTTCATGGGCCGGGCCGGGGTTTTACTCTTCATTAATGGAAATTTGTTAGGGCCGAGCCCGACCCGACCCTGATAAAAAGCCCAAAGCTCGAGGACTGACCGTCGGTGATTGTGTTCGCCGGAGCTAAGTTTGCGGTGACTGTGAGCTGCAATCTACGATTTTAACAGTGATCAGTTTGCGTCTGAGCGAGAGAGAGAGAGAGAGAAGGAGAGGACTCACCGCCGGAGTTGTTATGCCGGTGAACGTTCGCGGCTTCGCCGGTTGTGTGGTTGCCTGAGAGTGTGAGGACTGAGAACTGTGGAGGATGTGGAGAAGAAAGGTTCGGTTGGAAAAAGAGGTGAAAGAAAGAGGGGTATTTGACTAGGGTTTTTAGCTTTAATTATAGGTCGGGCCGGGCCGGGCTATTTCGGAAAATCCCGAACCCGACTTGAATTTATTGTGGGCTGGGTTTTTTGGCCCGAGGTTAAGCCCGCAGGCCCATTTGCGTGTTCAAGCCCGTCCGGGGGTCGGGCCGGCCCATCGGACCACCCGGCCCATGAACAGGTCTAGTCACGATGTGGTGATGTTGTCAATTTCCTTGAAATATATATTATAATATATGAAAAACATTATTTATATGTATAGGTTAAATGAGCATTAAAATTATTGTTTATGCTAAAATAAGCACTTGCGGGAAAAATAGCTTATCAAACATCATCAACCTACAATGGGTCACCAAACAACATTAATTATTAAAATAAATATGCCTTAAAATAAGCACTTGTACAACAAATGTTATTTCTCAAACCACTTAATCACCAACATAACCTTAGTGGTGGATCAATCCAATTAATCCTTATCCGTCCTAAAAATGCAAATGATTGTCGGGTGAGAGAAAGTAATTAAAAAGAATACAAAATAAAAACTAAAAACAAAATAAAGATGTTTTATATATATATTAAGTCAGGAATAGAAACTT